AAAGCTAGTCAGGCAAAAAAAGCGTCCCGCTATTGGGACATAGCTGAGCCGGGGTGCTTACTACTACTACTACTACTACTACTACTACCACTACGACTACTACTACTACTACTACTACTACTACTACTTCCATTATTACTATTACCTCATGTATGTTTTACTTCACAGTGCTGTTCGTGCCCAAACACAACATTTCGGCCTAAGACACGATTTGCTCGGATTGCTTTCTTTCATTTTGACCCACCCGCCCTGCCATGTTGTCAACTTAGCTGCTTAGCTTTTATGCTTCTTTAGCCTTGTCTCAGCTTGCTACTGTTTCCGTTACTACCATTTTGCATGATTTGTTTGCAGTTTCTTTGTGTTTTTTGCGTGCACCTCTGCCCCTCCGCTTAGCTGGGACACACAAAGCGGCTCCATAGGAGGATCGCGCAAGGCACACCAAATCGAACCAACAAGCACGGATCCATAAACGACGAAAGGGCCCCAACCGTGTCTACCCGAAGGAAGATACCAGGACGACCACGAACGCTCCGACCACCATCACGACCAGCAGACGTCTAAGCGCTCCGAGCAGCACGGGAAGACCAAGGGCCTGCTGGGCGGAATCTTGGTAGACGAGAGGATTGATAACTTTGCGTCTGCCCAACCTCCGCTCGATAGTGATGTGCAAATCGATTTTCTTCACTTTACCCCAGCTTCAGTTGGCTCCTTCCAACACACAGCTTAGCCATATGGTCAAAACCGAAGACGGAAATTCGAATTTCTAAGGGACATGCGCAGTAGATCCTGCAAAAAGTTAGTCTAGTCTGAAAGCAGTCGGTGCTGACGGGCAACAGACGTTCGAGTCTTGCACGGGCGAAGAATGACGCCTCTGGCAAGGCATGTGGTGTTTGTAGAGTTGGATGCCTGGAAAAGTTTGAACGGCGTGACTCTCCGGGGAGCTGCCGCAGTGCGTCTCCACATATCTTTGCGGTGCATGGGATTTTTGGTGCCAGCAATGTTCTTCTGCCCTTCAGCTCCAGCGATTTGATGGTTTCATGGGTAAGGCTGTTTCAATTTGAGAGGGGCCCTTCAGCATGTTTGTACAAGACAAATGGAGCACGAGTCCAACATGCGAAGCTTGGAGTTTTTATGAGAGAGCAAAAGAGATCGTTCTGATGTGATCGATCAGAAATTACGGGTTGGAAAGTAAAGATCGCTCGAACAGACAGTTTTCGATCTCCCCCAGAAAAGCCAAAGCTCATGGAGTACTCCACAATTCCCGAGAAAACTCTAGATGTCAGAGATGTTAGTCGGCAGGATGGGTACGAGCCTTGAAGAACAATGGGGAACATTTACGCCTCAACTTGACTTCAAAAGCTGCCGTGTTGGCAAGCTAGGAAGGGGGTGCTGGGCCCCGGCCAACCCTGAACATGTGGAAAAGCAACAAGGCCCTATCGGGGGCAGATTTGCGTGAGAGAGCGGTTGCCAGACTTGCAGGCTCGCCAGACGAGGTTCTGCAACACGGACGTGGACTGCGAAGCGCCGGTAGACTGCCTCTTTGCATCGTCAGGGTCCTAGACGGTGGTGTGCCTGTGTTTGTTTCCTGCGGTGTTCTACTGCATTTGCCTTCTTTGTGGCTGGATGATTACGGGGCTGTTGGTGAAGACGAGTTCGTTGATGAAGTGCATAGCAAGGGCGGATGCTGGACGCAAAACGCTCGGGCCGCAACGCCTCCTAATGTGATGGTGTCTCGTCCGTCGCATGGATGATGCTACATGTTTACGGTTCTGCAGGCCTACAACAGCTGGCAGACCTGTGCTCGTTTACCTGATAAGGTGGTCTCAGTGGACCCCTTGCACCCGTACTTGCGACGGTTTACAGCGCCGCAACAGGCCGGCATGGCAGATATGGCAGAACACCAGGCGCTAGGATCCGTCTTACATGGGCTGTCACAGGCGTGTCGACAGATTTGGTCGCGGCAAGGGCAAGTGGTGTGTTGGAAACCTGAAAGAAACAAGGCCGGAAGGGTCTCAATCTGTGGTAGAAAGCATTCCAAAGCCTGGTGCAGGACTTGCAATCCGGTTGTTGGCGATGCCACGCCAGCAGGATGCTCCACGGGTCCCATTGTGCCTGTGCCGTAAAAGTGGATGCACTCCAGAACTGCTCTTGCTCTGTGCTGACGTGAGGCCGATTGTCGATTCTCCATGTGGGGCGCCGGAAGCCTAGGGAGCTTGAACTTAAAAGGTCATTCACCTCCAGGATGGTGGCCTTGTTGCGCACTTCAGTTGTCGTATGTTGATGTATGTTCGTGATGAGGTCTGGTCGGTCTGCAGCGCCACATGCGACGGTGGCATGCATACACGTTCGAGGACCATTGTGTCAGAAGCTGCAAACGGGGGCCAGGCAGGACGAACATGAAGTCTCGAAGCTTGTAGTTTAGCTGGATGCGGCTTGTGGGTCAGGCTTGCGAAGGTCCGATGACCCAAGTCCGCGAATGCAGTCGCAACGAATGCGTATTGCCTCCTCCAAGAGACTGCAAATTGGGTGACTGGCGTGAATGGGGTGCCTGTGGAAAGTGCAATGGCCAACGCTTCCGCAGCCGGAATATCATACAATATGCCGAGAATGGTGGGCTGAACTGTGACGATGCAGACACGCAAGAGGCCACATCATGTCCGAGACAATGCCATGAACCATCCTATTGCGTATGGTCGGACTGGGAAGCCTGGAGCAGATGCTCAGTGAGATGCGGCACCGGCCCCTGCCCCGGTGACCCAGCGCCCCAGTCCTCCTTGGAATAAAAGTTGCGTGCACCGTGAGGCGGAAAGCGAAGCAGAAGACGATGGTTGGAAATCACCAGCGACAAGTCACGGGCGCTGGACGTTCTTCCTCCCGTGGAGGACGGCATGTGTCACACTCGTGTCGCCGCTGCTAGCTGTTCCTGCTTCCGATTCCTGCCGAGGACCTTCTGCAGAAGTACTCCAGGCTATATAGTCAGACGCAGGCAAAGATGGCCGACAGTGCGAGAGCCATGGTGGTGCTGAAGTGCACAGGATTTGCAAGACTCACACATTTGGGAACTCGTCTCGGCCTTCGCTGCTGGCCAGCTCCTTAGGCCCAGCGACAAGCCGTTGGCAACTGCTTCAACATGATTCTCTGATTCTGGGTGTGTCGCATGTGTCGCTCGAATTTCACGTGAGTAGTGAAAGTACAGTTAAAGGCACTTCTCACACTTGTGTGATAAGCTTTTATGTCCTTGCTTGAAAGTTTTGTGCGGTCGCGCATAACACGTGTAAAAATTTTCATTCACGTTGCTTGAACATGTGGGAAGATTTCTCATGATGTTTTCATGATGTCTTCTTTCCATGCGGATTTTTCTGGGAGTTGCTCTTTTGTGACGAACACGCAATCCGCTTGTGAATGCTTCAAGCAAGAGCACGGTGGTCTTTTGAGCCTTGGGGCCCTTCTCGTGAGTGCGGTCACGACGTGCGACGTTGCTCCCGGCGGGGGTGGCGGGTGATTGGTTCGCCCAGTCCTTGCGAGTCGGAGTGAGATACAACGGACACCCGTGGCCGCCACTCCGGGACACGTCTCGTACTAAGAGCCCCCGGGTGCTAACTGCGGTGCTTTTGTAGCTCTGTAGTGCATGGACGGTCGCGTGCGCCGAGCTGCGCCTATTCCTCACAGGAGGCTGGTGCTTCTGCTCGTGGCTGAGCAGGCTCTTATCGCCGATTGGCGGTCAGAGATCCTAGGAGTTTCTCTTGATCAGTTTCTGGCTGCCTCTCGCACCGGGAGCTTGATTATTCTTTTCCTGGGTCTGCCTGACAGTCACGACCTTCCTCGTACACAGCGCAGCATTCGAGCAGTGCTTTTGGCCATATCTTCTGAGACTCGCGCTGAGAACCGGCGCCTCAGGCGGCTCTTTCTTGCAGGACCGTAAGATTTGGGCCGGTCTTTGAGTTATGAAGGGGGTAGGTCAAGCAAAGACCGACTTGGGACTTGAGCCTTTGGGCCTTCGGGCTGATGCTTGGGCCCTTCGAGCTGGGGTTAAGAGGCCTCGCTTGGCTTGGGAGTCTGGTCCTTTACAAGGAATTTTGGGATCTCCTTGCAGCTCGGTTTTTCCATCCCCGGCTTGGCCTGCTGTGCAGCTGCAAGGGGCTTCAGATTTGGAGGTAGACGACAAGAGCTGGTCGGATGTGACCCAGCCTCTTCGGGAGGCTCATTCGGCCAAGTGGCTTAAGTCTGCTGTGCACAGTATCTCTTGGGTGGATGTCCTGGATCATAAGAGGTCGGCAGCTCTGGAAAGATGGAAGGTCCTACTCCTTTCGTCCGGGGATGCCACGGCTCTAGGAAGGGCCGTTTTGGCGGCCCAGCAGTCTGAGGACCCTTCTGCAGTGGATACATCCATCTCGGATGCCTTTCGACGTAAGGCAACATCGACTTTGAGGACTCGCGCTGCTTCTCTGCTGATGTTTTGCCGATGGAGGGCCGCTGTCACTGGGGTTTCCACAGCTGGCGTTTTTCCTTTGGACGAACAGACGGTGTATGACTACGTAGTCCATCTTCGAAAGACGAAGGCGCCGAGGAGCAGGGCACCCCGCTTTCTTGAAGCATTGGGCTTTTCGAAGGGTGTTCTTGGTGCGGACGTGCAGGCCATACTTGACTCTTCGAGGATCCGGGGAGCCGCCGAGGGTACGACCGAGGTGGTTGCGAAAAAGGCTCCTCCGCTTACTTGTGCTCAGGTGAAATTTCTCGAATGGTTCGCAGCCACACAAGGAGGGCAAGAGAGCGTCTTCGTGGGGCATGTGTGCTTCTGTGTACATGCCAGGCTGCGCTGGGGAGACTCGCAATACTGTGCATTTGAGCCTTTTCTTGACATGAGCGATGGAAAAGGATTTGTGGAGGCCTCGCTTTACAATCACAAGACCGCTCAGAGAGCGGCGGTTCTGAGAAACCGTTTGCCGGCGATTGGTGTCTCCCCTGGGATTTCCGGGCAGGATTGGGCCGGATCCGTGAAGGTCTGGTTGCCACGCGAGGGGAGCCTACTATGCCTGCACCCAAGGCGGGCGGAGGATGGGCCAGGATCCCTTTGTCATCGGATGAGGCGGCCACGTGGCTGGGGGGAGATCTTCCGCTTGTATGACATTGAGCCTTTGGGACCGGGGGGGGGCACCCGGTCTTTCAAGCCTACAGTCCTGTCGTGGATGACCAAAGCGGGAGCCCCTCAGGGTGTGCAGAGGCTGGCCGGTTACCACGTAGAGCCCGGGGCGAAGAATCCTTTGGAGTACGGACGTGACGCGATGTCTCCTGTCCTGGGTTACGTGGAGGGTCTCATCGAGGCCATTGCCCGGGGCTTCTTCTTCAACCCGGACCTCACACGGTCTGGGCGATGGGTTGGCTGCCGGTCTCTCGAGGATGCACTTAGGAAAGCCTATGAGGAGCCGGGCGCGCCGGAGGGTCTTGATCGTCAACAAGAAGTGGAAAGAGACTCCGACGAGGCTGGGGCACCTGTGGATGATTGGGACGCTGTTGCTCCTGAAGCTCTCTTTCCGAGCGACAACGAGTTGGCTGTCGATCCAGAGTGTCGGGATGCCGACTCGGATTCCGAGTCCTCCTCTCGTTCTTTGCAGGATGAAGAGGAGTCCGATGACGCAGAGCGCATGGCCGAGATTGCGGGGTCTCAGGTGGCCGAGGCTATCGACGGCGAGGCTGAGGCTCAAGTGGGATCTTTCTTTAGGCATGTCGTCAGCGGAGTTCTGCACCGAGTGCGAATTTTGAATCCAGATTCTGAAGGCGAAGCGACCGTCTTCTTTTGTGGCCGACAGGCAAATGCTAACTACGTGGAAACTAAGGAGTGTTCCATGTACGAGCCTCGCAAATGTGCAAGGTGCTGGTCGGAGCTGTGAGACAAGCGAGCTTAAAGGGAAGAGTTCTCTGAGTTCGTTTCGTACTTGCGTTAGGGCTGTTAGGCCCGAGCACGCCCAGGTGCGGGCCAGTGCCACGTAGTGTTGGTAATGCTCTGCTACAGGTCTGCGCCATGGTAGCTCATGCTGTGCACGCTCGTTTGATATTGTTCCTTGCAGTTTGTTTGCTCAATGTCCGTGGTAGACAGCGAGGCGGTCTTCGCATCGAGATGTGCCAAAGTCGGCCTGTCTAGCGAGGCGGTGGCTGCTCTTAAGGCCAAGGGCTGGGGAACCTACGCCAATTTTGCATTTTCCACTGCCGTGATTCCGGGGCAGGGAGATGACAGCATCTTTGTGCGGGATGTGATTACGGTGATTCTGGGGAGTGCGGAACATGCCTCAGGGGCGGCCCTCAGACGACTTCATTTTGAGAGTTACACTCTCACTGCTGCCGAGCTCAAGCGGCAAACGGAGACCAGTGAGGGCGACGTCCCTCGGAAGCTCCCCCCTGCTGAAATCGCCAGTCGCATTGATGCCTTGCAAGCAAAAGTGCTCCCGCTACGGATTGAAGACAGCCTTGAACCGTCCCATGCTGTGGTAAATTTGGTATGCCAGTGCGTGGAGGACCAAAGGGTGAGGTACATCGAGCTGTGCCGAGTGACGACTAGGAATCAGGAAGTGAATTCCTTGAAGGAAGTGCCCTCCTTGCATATGCTCCAGCCGGACCGTTCGGGGGTGCTGAAAGCAGTAGCCTCCTACGATTCTTTGCGCACCAGAGTGGACACCGAGCTGGAAGTCTTCCAGGCCTTGCGGCGCCGGGGCATCGCTTATGAGCTTGGAGGTTACATGTCGTTCTCAGCTCATGAGACCTTAGTGTGCTTCCTGATTCGCGAGTTGCAGAAGGATCCCTTGCCGGGCTTCGGGCGGGTTACTCTGAATCAGCTTCAGGCGGCCGATCGGGAGACCCATGTACAGCTGGCGAGGCTTACAAGGGCGGGCTTTGCAACTCCAGGTCCGGGCAAGTTGCCGCTGGACGACCATCTAGCAAAAGTGCTCGAGATGGCGCCGATTCATTGGATCCTGATGCCTGCGAGGCTGGGGGGCAAGAGTGCTCGCCCGGGGGTCGAGGATCTTGAGTCGTCGGGAGATGCAGCCGCAGCCCAGAAGCCAAGCAAGAAGGACAAGAAGAAGGCAGCCAAAGAGGCTGCCGAGGTGTCGCCTCCGCCTCCTCCCCCTCCGCCAGAGGGCCAGCCTGATCGCAAGAAGATGCGTGGGGCTATGCCTCAAGGCCTTCGGTGGGGCGTGCCGCGCACCAAGGCCAACGAGGCAATTTGCTATGGACACAACCTCGGCACCTGCAGTCACACCGGCGAGCGATGTGACAAAGGACTGCATGTTTGCTGTGGACCGGGTTGCGAGTCCAACCCAAACGTCAAGCGATCGTGACTAGGTTCGCTGAGACCTCCTCGCCAAGGCGGCATTTCTCCTTGCAGTTTTGATGACATTGGGCATTCGCCTACAGATTTTCCAGCCAGGATGGTGTCTGACCATCCGACCGAGGGGTTCTCTGTGCCTTCTTCCTTTAGCTGCCATAGTGAGCAGCAAGCCAGGATGGTGTCTGACCATCCGACCGAGGGGTTCTCTGTGCCTTCTTCCTTGAGCTGCCAGAAACGGAGTGCTGCCGACACTCTTCACCCGGTTTCTAGCACCCCGGACGGAGGGCCCACCCGTGCGGCTGTAGTCTCTCCCGCCCCTAGGCCAACTAAGGTTCCTTACCTGCTTGAGCTCTTCTGTGGGTCTGCAGGCCTGTCAGCCGCTTTTGGGCGTTTGGGTGGGGAAGCGCTAGGGGTTGACCGTTGCATCAATCCGCGCTCGGTCAAAGCCCTTGTGTTCGCCTGGATCTCACTCTTGCGGCTGACCAAGCTTTGATTCTTGCTGAGGTGCGCCGTGCCGACGTGGTTTGGTTATCCCCGGCCTGTGGCACCGGCTCTCGAGCCCGCGACATTCCAATCCGCCCGCCGCCGGGCTCATCCTGTACTCTCAAGGCCGGGCCTTTGCGCAACGCCGCATTTCCGGAGGGGTTGCCCGGCCTTTCAGGCGTTGAGGGCAGACGTGTGCGGTTGTCCAACCAGCTCTACATGTTCGTTTCGCAGGTCCTTGAGCTTTGTGTTCAGTTGGGAAAAATTTGTGTGCTTGAGAATCCGAGCCGAGCCTGGTTTTGGAGTACTCAGTGGATTCGTCCGTGGGTTGGCCGTCTCCATTCGATGCACTCGCATGCCTGCATGTATGGCGCTGAGGTGCGCAAGGCCACCCGACTGCTGTGCACGCATCCCTTGCCTTCCATGCAGGCTAAGTGTGACAATGCACACCCTCACACGCCCTGGGGTGTCACGAAATCTCGCGGTCAGTGGGACTTCCAAACCAACGGGACGGCGGAGTATCCTGCCCTCTTCTGTCGCGCTGCGGCGTCTGACTTGATGGATCTTTGTGCAACGTTCAACGCTTTCCCACTGAAGCATGTTCCTACAGAAGCCTTCGAAGTTGCTGCAGCCACGGGGCGCCAGCCAAGGGGTGTCTCTCTTCAGGTGGGACCTTCCGAGTTTGGGTCCACATGTGGGATGACAGTGCCTTTGTCTGTGTCGGTGCCCGAGGTTATCGATGAGGCCGCCCCGTGGCCCTTGCAAGGTTTGCCTACTGGTTCTCGTTTGCTTAGTTCACGGACTTTAGAAGCCGAAGGGGGAGCTGAGGGCGTCCGCGAGGTCAAGTTCGGGATTTTTCGAACACCCGAAGCCTTTCTTGCTGAGGCTCTGAAAACGCGACATCCCTTTGACGAGCCGTCGACTTCAGACATGGGTAATGTGCGTGCAATGCAGGTCATTTTGGAACAAGGTGTAGAAGGAGTCCAGGGACTTCGCGCCAACACTTTAGCTTACTACCGGAGCCGTGAGGTGGCTCTGAGGGCGGATGAGGAGGCTCTCAAAGCCACTATGGATCCTGAGGTGCGCGAAGTGATGAAGGGCAAGAATTTCCTGTTGTTCCAGGAGATGCTGCGCGACGCGGGAGTGGATGATCCTCACCTCCTAGAAGATATGACAAGAGGCTTTAAGTTGATTGGAGCGCTACCGCCTTCGGGGCAGTTTCCCAGGAAGCTTAAGCCGGCAAGTCTCGACATGGATCAGCTGAAGGCCACGGCCCGGTGGTCAAAGCATCTGGTGGAGGCATCATGCAGGAAATCCGCGCCCGACTTGGAAGTGTCTAAGGCGGTGTGGGCCGAGACGCTCGAGCAGGTCGAGAAACCTTGGCTGAAAGGACCCTTCACGTGGGACGAGATCGACAAGAAGTACCAGGGCTGTTGGGTTCCTTCTAAGCGCTTTGGAGTTTCTCAAGCTGACAAGGTGAGGTGTGTTGACGACCTCTCCGAGTTCCTCATCAACGCAGCGGTCACCGAGACGGAGAGGGTTACCTTGGAGGGGAGTGAGCACATCGTTTCCTTGGCCCGCTTCTTTCTTGGTGCGACGACCGCGGGGGTTAGCACCTTCCGACTTCCTGCTGCTTCTGGGGACTGGGTCACTGGGCGTCTTCATCCCGACTGGAAGGGGAGCAGGGCCCGTCAGTTGGGAGGCAGGTAGATTTGAAAGCCGCCTACAAACAGCTGGCTCGTCACCCTTCTGATGGGTGGGTGTCCATTGTGGCGGTCCTCAATCCAGAGACCAACGTGGTACATTACTTTGAAGCAGTGGCCTTGCCTTTTGGTGCTGTAAGTGCAGTGACAGGATTTAACAGAACGGCGCGGGCCCTCCGAAGAGTTCTCTCTACCCTTTTCTTCTTCGTCACGACCAACTTCTACGACGATTTTTGTCAGCTGGAGTTGGGACCTTTACAGGATTCTGCCAGGTCTACAGCCGAGGAGGTGTTGGACCTGCTTGGGTGGAAGATTGCCCAAGGTGCCAAAGCTTTGCCGTTTGCATCGTCCTTCAACATGTTGGGAGCTTGCATTTCCTTCGAAAGAGCCTTCAAGGGGGATGTACTTGTGCGCAACAAAGAGGGACGTCTTGAAGCCATCGAGGAGATCGTTCATCAGTGCGTAGCAACGAGACGCTGTGATCATAAGCAGTTACTTTCCTTGAAGGGCAAGCTGCTGTTTGCGGCGGGGCACGTGTTCGGCAAGTGTGCCCAGATCGCGGCCCAGCTCATCTCCCAAAGGGGAAGTGACCGGTCCCACTCCAGAGAGCACCTGGGGGATCTTTTGAGTTCCTTGCAGTTTGCTTTGGACACCTTGAAAGCTGGAGGACCCAGGTGCGTGGGCGCCTGGTCAAGGCAGCCGCCTGTGGTCATCTTCACCGATGGGGCTTGCGAGCAAGAAGGGTCTCTTGTGACGCATGGTGCATTACTTCATGACCCTGTGTCGGGGCGCAAGGAGGTCTTCGGGGATCACGTACCAGATTCTCTGGTCGCGCTTTGGAAGCGCGGCGGGAGAAAGCAAGTGATCTTCTTTGCAGAGATTTTCCAGTTCTTGTGGCCAAGACCGTTTGGAAGGAGGTGATACGAGGGCGTCGTGTCTTGTTCTTCTTGGACAACGAAGGTGCCCGCTTTACCTTCATCCGCTCCTACTCTGCTCAGGTTAACGCCACTTCGCTTTTGATGCAGTCGGCAAAGCTTGATGTCGAGTCTGGAGCCTTGGGATGGTACTGCCGTGAGCCGTCCAAGAGTAATCCTACAGATGCCGCCTCACGTCTCGATTTTGATTCTTACAAAGATTGCAAGCGCGTCAAGCCTTCTTACGAGGCCCTTTTGCCAGAGGGCAGTTGAAGGGGGTTGGAGTGGTCTGGCAAAGGCCTTGTGTCCGCTCTTACATGTGTGCGACAAGGGTCGCATGCATCGCTATGCGTGTTGTATACGACAGCGCGCCGACCCCCATACCAGTCAGGGCTTCGTAGTGAAAAAGAAGGAGTGCGTGCATCGTGTGCATGTTGCCATGTCAGAGTGTGCGCATGCTTATTTCAAGTTTATGGAATGATTGAAATTTTTACTTCAAGCCTTTGGAGATAAAGGCACTTCTCACACTTGTGTGATAAGCTTTTATGTCCTTGCTTGAAAGTTTTGTGCGGTCGCGCATAAAACGTGTAAAAATTTTCATTCACGTTGCTTGAACATGTGGGAAGATTTCTCATGATGTTTTCATGATGTTTTCTTTCCATGCGGATTTTTCTGGGAGTTGCTCTTTTGTGACGAACACGCAATCCGCTTGTGAATGCTTCAAGCAAGAGCACGGTGGTCTT